CAGTGTTACAGAAATGCTTAACTTTTCTGGACTATGGAGGGGTTGGGGAGGCTTCCAGAGGAGGCAGCATCCTGGACATGTTTTGAATGATGGGTGAGAGGCATGAAAAGCAGTGTACTAGTAGTCAAGAGACCTAGGTCCAGTCCATACTCTGCCTCTGTGCTGACCTCAAATGAGGCATCTCTCCTCTTTGGACCTCATGAGAGGGGTAGACTGGCCCAGCAGCCAACATCTCTCTTGCCTGAGCTCTGGTCTTCATTTTCACTGACTGCCTAATTATTGCTCATCCTGCATCCTGTATTTCCAAAACTCTATTTCCTTATATGTAAAATGGTGATGCTAATAACCAAACTTTGGGACTCTGGAATATTCAACAGAAGAATGTATAGGAAAGTGCTTTTGAAATGCTAATATGTGGAGCTCTGAGAAGGGATGTGTGGCTATAGGTCAGCTCTCCACCGGATCATGCTTCCCTCTGCCTTCTTTGGGGGTCTAGCATAAGGATGGACACACCGTAAGAACATTATAATACATGCTGAATTGAGCTTTATTTTACACATACACACGCACATACTCACCCTCCCTACATCTCAGAATAGTCTCCTCTTTCATCCCCATCAAAGCACTGAACTCCTCTGTCCAAACCCTACCCGACCAAGTGCCCACTCCCACAACAAGACACTAATTCATCTCTTCTTTCTCTGCTCCTTGTCATGACTCAGCTACCTACCTGCCAAGTGTGAACACCACTTCTGGGTCCTGCCTTCCAAGAATTCCTTGTGGCATCTTAGACCCTCCATTCTTGTTGGAGTATGTGGTTGGTGAAGCTGCCATGGGGGTCACAACCACTTACTGAATGCCTGCTCTGTGGCCTGGCTCTGTGACGTCTCCCACTGATCCTTACAACTCCTCTGTGTGATGGGAATTATGATTCCCACTGTTCTGGTAGCTGTCATGAAATGAATGCCTATTTGGGGCCAGGCACTGTACCTAGTGTCTTACAAGTCCAAACTCATCAAACTGTAAATATATGAAATTCATTACACAACAGTTATACATAGATAAAGCTGGTTGTTGGGTTTGTTTGTTTTTTTAAGAAAACCCTGGAATGGGGGGCAGAGGATGTGTATGTCAACAATATGGGAAGCTTCTCAGTCTTGTGTAAAGTGGGCTCTGAGAGGACACATTTGCCCTGTAACAGTAATCCCAGGAAAAGACACATTCGGGCATCTGCTGGGACCTCCCCCGAGGTAGTTGATATAGAAGAAAAGAAGATTGGTTAAGTAAGAACAAGAGAAAGAAAGGAAAGAAGGAAAGAGAAAGAAAGAAGAAAGAAAGAAAGAAAGAAAGAAAGAAAGAAAGAAAGAAAGAAAGAAAGAAAGAAAGAAAGAAAGAAAGAAAGAAAGAAAGAAAGAAGGAAAAAAGGAAGAAAAGAAAGAGAGAGGGAGGGAGGGAGGAAGGAAAGGACCTGATTTCTTTTTTTCTTTTTAAGGTTTTATTTATTTATTTTAGAGAGAGAGTGTGTGTGAGCAGGGGTAGGAACAGAGGGAGAGAGAGAATCTCAAGCAGACTCCCTGCTGAGTGGGAAGCCCAACACAGGGGCTCGATCTCAGGACCCAGAGATCATGACCTGAGCTGAGATCAGGAGTCAGATACTTAACTGACTAAGCCACTCAGGCACCCCGGACCTGATTTCTAACTCAGGTCTTCACATGGAAATGCCCCATGCATTGACTGGGCAGGAGCCAAGATCTCATTGCAGGAGGCAGCAGGGCATAAAAAAATGGCAAGAGTTTGCAACCCAGACACACCTAGATTGGTTTTCCCACCTTGTCATTGAAGAATGCACAAAGCCAAAGTGTGGAGTGATGCATTTTCACACCCTGAAGCCCCTCTCCCAAGTGACCTGTATCCGGATCAAGAATCAGAGCAGAAGTGTCCTCATGCCCCTTTCCAATCACTCTGTCCACCAAACAAACCTTGATTTGACTTCTACTTCCTTCACTCGTTAGCTGTGTGACTTTCAGCACATTTTCTCGTCTATAAAGTGGAGCTAATAATGCTAATTTAACGAGTTTTATTTCTTGAAGAAGAAAATGAAATAACAGGTTTAAAACACCTAGCACAAGGCCTAACATGTCAGAGGTGTTTCATACTTGGGAGTTCCCTTCCCAAGAGGAAGCTTGGAAAGGCCAGACCCCGAGGGGCAGGGGGCATAAAGTGGGGGACGCAGCACTGGCATATCCCTGGGTGAGTCATTTGGGCTTCCTGGGCCTCTGTCTCCTGTCCTGTAAAGTGAGGGCCCTGTAAATGCTGGACTCAACATCACACCCTTCCAGGGCACCTTGCCCAGGATATAAATAGGACATAGCTTTTACTCCATAAGAGCTCAGAATCCAGAACTCCCCAGTTCTAGGGAACCCCGGCTTCTGTGCAATGGGACAAATATCTGTGAATGCACAAGTGGGGAGACCAGAGCCACCTTCACTGGACTGCTCACCAGAAGGCTTTTAAAATGGAAGTGTCCCCCCTTCCCCTCCCAAATCAGGATCACTTAGAGTTAGGGCCCAGGAATGTGGATGTGTTGCTCATGCCCCAGGTGATTTGGGTGCAGATGATCTGCAGAGACCAAGTGGGAGCTACTAGGGAAGGATTCGGACCAAAGTGGTGCTGAGACTAGGACACACTGCAAGTTAACCATTTCTTGTTACAATAGGTCTCCAAGACCACTTTGCTTCTTCATTTTCCTTTTCCCCTTGACATATGCCCCGAACATACTCTCATAAATTAAGAGCATCCAGTTATTTGAGCTCCAATCAAGCAACTCATTTCTTCTTTCAAACCAGGGTCTGAATTCTCAATTCCTACTGAACCTGGGCTACAGGAAATGACTTAACCTGTTTTTGAGCCGCACCTGATTATGAAGTGACAAGCCAGTCCCAGCACCTCCTTTGAGCAAACAGCCTCCCAGGGCCAAGAACAAACTATTCTGTCAACCGGCCGTCTGCTCGCACTGACAACTCTCTACACCCATTGTCGTAAGTGCTAATGGTAAGTGATGGGTATCACTGAGGATGTCCATAACAGCCTTTCCAAAGAATGGACCTCTACAGAGGCGCCTGGGTGGCTCAGTCGGTTAAGCATCCAACTCTTGATTTCGGCTCAGGTCATGATTTCAGGGTTGTGAGATGGAGCCCCAGGTCGAGCTCCGTGCTGGGCATGGAGCCAACTTAAGATTCTCTCTCTCCCGACTATGGACTCTGAAAAACAAACTGAGGGTTCTAGAGGGGAGGGGGGTGGGGGGATGGGTTAGCCCGGTGATGGGTATTAAAGAGGGCACGTTCTGCGTGGAGCACTGGGTGGTATGCGCAAACAATGAATCATGGAACACTACCTCAAAAACTAATGATGTAATGTATGGTGATTAACATAACCAAATAAATAAATAAATAACCAAATAAATAAATAAATAAATAAAAGATTCTCTCTCTCCCTCTCCCCTACTTCCCCCTCTCTAAAAAAAAAAAAAAAAAAAAAGTTCGAATTTGAACAAAAATAATGGACCTCTATATCCAATTGCCAGCCCTGATCTGTACTAAATAAGGAATAGTTATTAATAATGCTAACAGGAGTGATGACACTAGCCAGCCTTTCACGGCACTGACCACATGCCCAGATACCTCGGGGCACTTCACAGATATTATTTTATTTAATCCCTCCATAAATGGAGATATTGATCCCAATTCTTCAGCCCTCTTTTTGGCAGTATCCATGCCCTCTGCCATGAGACTGTAATTCTCCCTAGAGATAGAGTGTGTGTCTCTACCCCTTTTCCCTCAGACAATCCTAGGCTAAATCAGTGAACCTGCAGATATCTGAGCAGGAAAACTGGCTGTGTTTTGAAGTCACTAAGTATTGAGCTGATTTGTTACACAGCAACAGCTGACCAAACCAGTCCCCGAGGACAGACGTTGGCAAGTACATAAAGTAAGTTTAATCGGAACTCAGCAACACCCACCCATTTCTGTTTTGTCTATGGCAGCTGGCATGGTACCCAGCAGAGGCAGGTGGTTGCAACAGGGACCATATGATCTGCAAAACCTACACTGTTTACCACCTGGCTTTACAAAGAATGTTTGCTGATCTCTGCCCTAGAACAGAGTTTCTCAGACTTTAACCAGCATCAGAATCACCTGGAAGCCTTATAAAAACACAGAATACTGGGTCCCAGCTTCAGAATTCTGATTGTGTAGGTCCGGGGTGGGGTTCAAGAATCTGTCTTGGTCTCCTGACCCTCCCCACTCATTGTGCTCCCCACTCACCCCAGACAGCCATCCTGTTCCTTTATCAGGGCATTTGAACTTGCTGCCCCTTTGCCAAGACCATCTGGGCCCCAGATATCCGCCCGGCCTATTCCCTTGCTTTGTTCAGACCCCTGCTCACATGTCACTGCATCAGAGGAGTCTTCCCTGACCATCCTTGCTAAAAACAAGTCTCCCCAGCCTCTTCGATCTTCATCCCTTTACCTGGCACCCCTTCTTTCTATAGCATCTACTATCCACTTACACACACCTTCGCAGTTGTCTGTCTCCGTGCCCTAAACGGGAAGCTCCCTGAGGGTAAGGATTCGGCTTCAGTCCCTGCCGCATCCCCGGCACTTAGGACAGACCCACGGCAGGGGCTCCATCAGTAGTTTTGAATGAATGAGCAAATGAACAGCCGTTATTTAAAGTGGGACCTTCTAGTTCCCATAAGAAGTATCTTCTCTTATTCCCTGCCCCTGCTTCCCTTCAAAAGGACTCAGCAAAGAGCCTAGAAGAAGCAAAGGAAGGTCTGTCAGCTGGCGGTCCTGCCCCTTCAGCACTCCCGGCCTCCGCCACCCGCCGGACCGCCCCGGCTGCAGCTGGACCCCCGCTGTGCCATCTGCAGCCCACCGGGCCCAGGGCAGCTCCGCCGGGGACTCTGCAGGGGCCCCTGGGGACACACGCTTCAGGACTCACCCTGCCAGGACACATGTGACTCTCCCCTGCCTGGACGGCTTCTTCACATCTGCCCCTGTGTACTTTGGCTTCCAAAGCCTGTGTTTACAAATCTGGGTCGAGGAAGGACAGGAATTCCAACAACATGCGATTCACAGAAGCCGGCCAGTGCTTCCTGTTCTGGTTTTTCCTCGTAAGTAGGCAGTGCAGAGAGACGGCAAGTCATCTGTTGGACTCGGAAGCCACCCAGACCCCGGTCGTGTCCAGCTGGGACTCTGGGCAAATCGGACAGCCTCCGTGAGCCTCAGTTATCTCATTTTAAAGGAAGATAATAATACAAATTTGTTATTGGAATTAGAGCCAATATGCAAAGTCCCTTAAGAATTTCATAATATGGTTTCTATTTCTGCATTATGCTCCACTATGTCTATTTTGGGCAGAGTCCCAGGCTCGTCCTCAGTTCCATTCTTTCCCTGAGATAAGGGACCATCCTCTTGACAGTCTATCTCTTAACATACCACAAGACCACCTCCTTCTCCCTCTCCCTGTGTGGCTCTCCCCAGGAGAACTGGCCGTTCCAAGCGTAGACTCAGGCGCTGTCAGCCTAGGATTTTAACCATATCTCCATCCCTTCTAGCTGAGTGATCTTGAGCAAGTTATTCTCTTCCCTATGACTCGGTCGCCTAATCTGCAAAATGGGGTTGAAGGTGGTAGCTGCGGAGCAAACATCGCCAGGTGATGGCTTTAAAGCCTCTTCCCTCCCCCCTCCCCATTGCCCCCTGCCATGCAGAAGCTGGGAAACCCATCTCAGAGTCCCCAGCCCTCCTTGCAGCTAGGGCTGTGAATAACTCACTCTGGCCCAAGAGATCCAAGAGGAAGTCTGCCCGGGAGGGCTGACAAAGCTTGAGGATTAAATGATAATATCCCTGTGAAAAGTGTGGGGGAAAGCCTGGCAAATCATGCATAAATGCCTGTGGAAAGTACGTGGAAAGGTAGAGGCTGCATGAGTCAGAATTCAGCCGGAGGCACGAGGTGAGGCCCGGAGGGGCAGAAGATTTGGAGCGGTGGATGGTGCTAGAAGAGAGGATAGAATCTGCGTAGGAGGGGATGTAGGTGTAGACAGGACGCAGGTTGGGGCCACAGAAAGGAGCACACGTTCAGGCCCCCTTGATTGCTGAGCCTGGAAACACTCCCAGCCCAGGTTTCAGAATGGGCTCAGGAGAAGCCTGTCCCTGGAGGGAAGCCAATTAAAGGGTCAATCGCAGGGATCCACCATTCATCGAGGGACTGAGAAGTGCTTATGAATTGGTCTCCACATCCACGGGTTTTATAGAGAGAGCATTCCGGTCACTGTGAGCGTGAACGGTGTCTTTCATCTCACACTGCCTGGTGGCCTGCAGGCCAGACAGGGCTAAGCTCTGTGGGAAGCCCTGGGACACGGGGCTGCAAACAGCAAGGTCCCCTGGGCTGCTCTGCGGGAGCAAAAACAACCACAGCGCCGCTCTGGAGAAAAAGCAAAGGACCACGTCTGCAATCCCCTCAGGTACCCTCTCCCCAGCTGGAGAGCTGCAATGCAGTGTCCATGGCCTCCATCGGAGAGCAAAAGACGGGAGGAGAATTCCCTGTGAAGGGACCCAATTTGGCTAATTTGGCTGATCATTTTCCTGAATCCGAGTGGGAATCTCCCACCCCCAAAGCCCCCCACAGGGAGGAGCTACTGGTATTGGGGGAGAAGCTAGTGAACACACCGGGAGCACCGATTCCCCCGAGAGAGTGACTCTCGGGTGCCCCGCTGGAGTGACTGGTTGCTACAGAGGGCGTGTCCGGAGGCTGACAGTGAGCAGGGGTGGTGCTAGCCCAGCCTGGAGACTTCTCAAATATGTAAAAGGTTATATTATGCTGGGCACTCAGTAGCCCTTTGGAAAACATGTTTCAAATACCTTGGGGTATCAGGATCCAGTTTCTTGCAGACTGAACCTAGAACACCACCACGGGCATGTTCTTTCCAAAATGCAAACCAGAGAGTGTCACTTTCCTGCTCAAAATCTTTGGTGGCTCTGTATTAAGGACGAGATTGAAACTTAGCCTGGCAGATGCTCCTGTTGTTTACTTTTTCTTCATTTCTCTTTCTACACTAGACATCCCAAACTAATTTATATCCACCACCCCCCCACCGACACACAGTGACTCTCATCCCCTGCTTGCCTCTGTACATGATTTCACTCATTCAGTGATTCATTCATTCACTGAACACTTAGTAAGTGCCTAGTGCATGCCTCTGTGTCAGTGACTAAGATACAATAGTGAGCAAGAGTGACTTCCTATTCCCAAAGATCATAGCATTGAATTCAGGAGTTCTCACACCTGGCAGCACATCAGAATCAGCCAGAGGGCTTCTTAAAAGCGCAGAGGTTTGGACTTCATCCCAATATCCCAGGATGGGAAGACAGGGGAAAGAATCAGCAGGCAAAATTGTTACAAAAGGAGCGGGGAGCTAAACTCTAATTTCTTCTGTGACCTCCCTAGGAATCAATAGGATGAGTGGGGGAAAAGCTGGGTTTGGGAATCAAAAACCTGTCTCGAAATACAGGCATCCGTATATTCTCGCTTTCTGGAACATTCAGCGTTTACACGTGTTGTCTGGCAGAACTCCTAATAGTCCCACTTTACTCTCCAAAGTGCCCTGATTGGGATGATAAATTACATGGCCACTTTCCTCCAAACTCCACTTTACCCTGTCCTACCATGAGAACCTGGGGTCTGTTGAAGATCCCCGAGCTTCAGTTTCACAGTCTACACCACGGTGCGAACAGTACCCGTGTCAGAAGGTAAAAGAAGTAAAAGCAAAAGATCACGGCTACCTCGTGCCTTGGAGAATAGGTGCCCTAATTCACAGAAGCCGTCATTATTCTTCACCTTGTAGGAAGTAGCCCTCACTTGTTCGCGTTGTTCCCTGGCAAATGAAATGGTATGTTAAGGATGAGAACACAGTCAGATGAAAAATAGAGCATATATATTCGTGGAGAAAGTGGCCCTGAATCACCAGGACGCGGCTTAGGTGGTTGCTGGCCAGAACCCATCTTGCATTATCTGTTACAATATTTAAACAGCAGCTCAACCTTCTAGAAAGCAGAGCTTTCCTACCCTCCTCATTGGTTAAAATTTCTCAGAGAGTTGGGTCAAATGTCTCTAATGGGCCCAGATGGAAGGAGAGGGGGGCTATGGTCTCATGTCTGGGGCCAGGCAGAGGGAAGAGAGAGACTGACACATCCTCTGTCTGGGTGACCATTCACTCGTGACTCATCACATCTTGGCCTGTCTGCACTGTGATTCTGCCAGTGATTCACTGATGCCCACCAGGAAGCCCCCTTTTTAGGTCCTCTTTCTGGGCTCTTCGATTAGCATTTGGGGCCAAAGGGAACCTAGAAGGAGACAGAGATGTAAAGATCTGCCAACTGGATGGAGTATGGCTTGACCCAGCGGCAGTGAGAGACAAGAACAAGAGGAAGAAATGCTAGCATGCCTGGTTCCCTGCGTGGAATCTAACAAACAGCTAGAGAAGAAAATTTTAATGCACAATGGTGGATGTTCATAATATTTCAGAGATCCTCAAGGGCTGAGGATTTCCCACGGACAAAGGAAAGGCCTAGAGCTTTACAGAAATCAGAAATCTCTTTGGATGAAGTTGTATGAAGGAAGAGCCGCATGAACAGATTGCTTAAAAGTCTAAGGTATGCATCTGAAGATAAAGTCAAGCAGCATAGAGAAGGGGTCCGTAAACTCTAGAACAACAAGGAGACTGAGACAGGAATTATCCAGCTCTGTTCTAGGACAGGCACTGAGGCTGGTAAGTATTTGAGTCTCTAGAATCATTCTGAGTTCTCAGGTGTGGGTCGAAAATAAGTGATTAGTTTTCCCAAAGTGTGATAGGCAAATAAGCACGGCATGGATACAGAAAGAACACTTATTTTAGTAGTTGTTATGCATTAACTCCTACCATTAGTACATACAGCCCGTAATATTACGTGTATTTTTCTTTGAACACAATTGGGTAAAAATAAGCAAACTTCTTTCTTTCATCAGATATGCCAAGTCTCAGAGCCCATGCAGTTCTGTCTACCTGAAGTGTTCTCCAGCCAACCCTCACCTGCCCTTCTCCTCCCTACAGAGCGCCGTCCAACGCCACCTTCACAGAGGGTGGCCTTCCCCGGCCGCTATGTCAGACGTGAGTGTCCCTGGTCATCCTCTCTCCAGCCTGGTGCCTTTTTCTTACAAAGCACTTCCAAGATCCTGGTTTATTTCTTTATTCCATGTCTCTGTCCTCCCGAAGGTAAGTGCCATGAGAGGAGGAGCTCTGTCTTAATTTTGCCCCATCTCCAGCATCTTGCCATTGCTTGACCCATAATAGATGCCTAATACCTATTTATTGAGTGAAGACCTATTGAAATGAATTATGACCTCTGACCTCAGTAGTGACATTCTGGCATGCAAGAAATAAGTATGAGCTGTGGCTAGGGCATGGTGAAATGTGTGGCACCCTGGATATGGCCACCGGAGGAGATAAAATGTTTGGGGATAATTATACCCGTCTCCCCTCCAGCTGACCTATAGGTAAGCCACAGACCTGGGAGTGAGGTAGGGATGGACAATATGCCTTATGGTGGGAAATATGGATTAGAGAACATGGCTTAGAACTGAGTCCAGAATAGGCTTCCTGTTCCTTCCTCTTCTGAGGAGCTCACTCACCCCATTGCAACCATAAAATTTCAGGCCTTCCTCCTCTCTTGCCTCTCTCTCTGTCTCTCACCCTACCTACCCCTCCTTCACTCTGCCTCAGGGTGAGGTCTGCTCCAGCGGATTGACTTAGGGCAAAGGTAAGAGCTGAAAGAACACGTGTGACTCGGAAGAGAGAGAAAAAGACATAGCATGTCAGTGCTAGCCAGGGGCCCTGGTCCCAGCCTCACCAGTCAGAAAAGCCATTCTTTCATTCGAAGGAGGAAGCCAGGGTAGAAGCTTCCCCTCCAGTTCTTCTGAGACTGTGGAAGTTGCTATGTGGAGGAGGGTACGTGCAGGAAGAGTCAGAAGAGAATGGTTCTCTATAGAGTCAAGGTCACACATGCATCTGTGTGAAAGGGAAGACAAAGACCACTGTGAACAATGATGAGCTCCTGGATCTCGTAAGTTATGTCTTGGATACCACTGGCCCTAACATATATCTCTATGCCTGGCCAATGGTAGTGGTCAGTAAGTGTGTGCTTAACAAAGTGTGCTGAAAGAATGGAAGACTGTATGAATGATTAAATGCACTAGTGATGGAGTGAGTAAAATATGTATTATATATCAGCCTCTTATGAATCTTGTTAATATGTCTAATCTTAAATCCTGATCACCTTAAGATACATACCCAAAAAATGACTTTACAAATATGTAAGGGTGAGACCCAGAACCTGGACCATAGCGCCCCCACTAACTTCTGGTCAGCGTGTAAACCCTCTTGGAATAACTTTTAGCTCCAAGGAGGTTGAATTACTTAGAGTAGGTGGTCCATATCATCTGTGATCAATCAATAAGCCATCTCTTGAGCAGGGTATCTTAACTTGGGTCCATGGACTTTGCAAGGATCAGAGGACACATTTCCAGAGGTCTGTGAACTTGGATGTGGAAAAAATGCACCTTTATTCTGACCCACCTCTAACTGAAATTCAGCATTTTTATCACACGTGAATGTAGGCAACAAACCCCAATATTAATAAGATCTGTGATTTTATCATCAACAGGAATCACAGATAATTTCATATCATGTGTCAGCTTTTGCAGGTATTCGTGTCTACTTCAAAATTACATTAGTTATTGGACCTCTTAGACCTTATATAATGCCTTCATAAATAAGCACGTGCCATGCCCACATAATCATGCCCCCGAGATGATCCTTAATGACCCCACCTCCTGGTGTTCACACCCTGGATAATCCTCTCCTGTGAATGTGAGCTGAACCTAGTGACCTGCTTTCTAATGCACGGAGTAGGGCAAGAGTGAAAAGTCAAGCACAAGACTCCTTCCCTGCCCTCTCATTCGGATGGTGACTCCTGTCTTGCTTTCATTGTCTCCCGCTTACTCTGATGAAGCCAGCTGCCATGTGTGAGCTGCTCTATGGAGAGGGACTAAGGGTGGCCTCTGGCCAACAACCAGTGAGGAATTAAGGCCCTCAGTTCAACCTCCCATGAAAAACCAAATCCTGCCAACAACCACGTGAGTGAGCTTAGAAAGCAATTTCATCCCCAGCCAATCTTAAGAGACTGCAACCCTGGCCAATACCCGCATTGCAGCCTCAGGAGAGGCCCTAAACCAGAAGCCCCAAGCTAAGTCACGCTCAGATCCCTGACCCACAGAAACTGTGAGATAATAGATGTCTGTTGCTCTGATATGCTAATTTTGTTGCGCAGCAATAGATAATGAATACGGTTACCTAGTTATCTATCTATCTCCTGATTGGTAAGTGTACCTCAATATAACTAGTTTCCTTTGAGGAGGGGTCCTGGGCTTCACCAGTCTGACAAGGTGGTCCATGCCACCCAGAGGTTAAGAGCCCCTACCTCAGATTCTGTTTTGGAGAGACACTGGTTCTGGAAGGGACATTAGGAAGTAGCATACATCTGAAGTCACATCCTCCTGACCTTGGAGGTAGCAAAGGGAAGGAATAAAGAGAACCAAGGAGTGAGTTTTGGTTCAGCTGGTAGGGTGTCACAAGTTGGAGCATTTTCATCAAGATAGCCAGAAACATCCAAGGGAGATAAGACAGCTGAGAACCTAGGTGTTAGGTTTGAGCCCAAAGTCGGAAGGGTAACAAAGTAGAGGGTAGATGGAGAAGCCAGGGATGGAACCAGGAATGTCAGACCTGGGGAGAGAAGAGTCGGCCTGGCTTTGTAATGCAGGGGTCCCAAGCACACGCTGTGTCTCGGGTACTTTGTCCTGGTGTTTTTTAAGGGCAAGACCAGCACAGAGAATATAATTCCATCTCCCATTCCGAGTAGGAATCTCATGTTGGGTGATAGGGATTTAGACACTACTTCCCTGCCCTCTCATTCGGATGGTAA